TTGGAAGCAGTGTAAGTGTCCACATATAGATGAATGGATAAAGACATATGTGTATATGAGTGTATTAGAAGTCTAGGTGCATGAACTTTGTGCAAGAGGACAAGGTGTGTGTGTGTCCCTCAGCCAGCCTGCACCCTCTCCAACCTGGGACATCCCTGTCACAATCCAGGACTGCTGGCTCCCAACCACTCACATGCCAACTTGCCTGATTGCCCTAAACACTTCTGCCTTCCAGTCTGATTACCCCCTAACCACTCCTCTGCCAGCCTGATCAATGCCTAACTGCTCTCCTTGCCGGTCTGATTGCCCCTAAATGCCCTCCCCTGCTGGCCTGTCCACCCCTAACTACCCTCCTCTGCAGGCCTGGTCACCCCCAACTACTCTCCCCTGTAGATCTGGTCACCCCAACTGCCCTCCCCTGCAGACCTGGGTTCCTTCCATCTGTCCTCCCCTGCAAGCCTGCTTGCCCCCAACTGCCCTCCCTTTCAGGCCTGGTCCCTCTTAACTGCCCTCCCCTGCTGGTCATCTTGTGGTGGCCATCTTGTGTCCACTTGGGGGTGGCCATCTTGTGTGTTGGAGTGGTGGTCAATTTGTATATTACCTCTTTATTATATAGAATTATTATATAGAATATATGTGTATATATGTATATATACATATCTCACACAATGAAATATTACACAGCAATAAAAAGGAATGAAACCTTGCCTTTTGTGAGTTACACTAAGTGAAATAAGTCAAGCAGAGAAAGACAAATGTCATATGGTTTCATTTATATGTGAATCTCAAACAAACAAATAAAACAAAAATAAAAATAGATTCCTGGAAACCTAGACCAAAGGGTTAGTTACCAGATGGGATGGGAGAATGGCTGAAAAGGGGAAGGGGAATGTAGTCTGTTCTATTGTGATAACTTTACATGATGACAAATAATTACTAGAATTAGTGAGGTGATGACATGGCAGGGTATAAAAATGTTGAATCACTATATTGAACACCTGAAATAAATATAACCAATATAAGATTGTATACTAACTATATTTTAAGTAAAAAATAAATTAAAAGGAAAGGTTTATTTGTATATGTTGTCAACACCATTGCCCAGTGTCCTTCATTTAGCCTCATTTGTAGATGGGAACAATGGGAAATGTGGTGGTAGGAAATTATATATAGTGATCATGGGCAAGTCACTTTGTTTAGAATTTGATTTCTTCAGCTTTAAAATTTGGTGTTAGGGTGATTTAATGTAAAAAAAATCCTCATCTGAAGATATGTTTATTGATTTTTTTTTAGAGAGAGTGGAGATGGGGGAGAGAGACATTGATGTGAGAGAAAAACGTTGATCTGTTGCCTCTCATATACACCTCGACCAAGGATCAAACCCACAACCCCTTTTGGTATACAGGACAATGCTCCAACCAACTGAGCCACCTGATCAGGTCTAGAGTATTTAATTTTAAAAAATATTTTTTATTAATTTTTTTTAGCGAGAGAGGAAGGGAGAGGGAGAAAGAAAGGGCATTGAAGTGAGAGGAAAACATCAATTGGCTACCTCCTGCAAGCCGTCTACTGGGGATCATGCCAGAGACACAGGCATATTTCCTGCCCAGGAATGGAACCAGCAACCTGTTTGGTTCACAGGATGATGCCCAACTAACTAACAGAGCCATACTGGCCAGGGCAGGTTATTAAATTTTTTAAAAACAATGTATGAAATTTTGGCAAATACAGGAAGAATTCAGAAGATAAATTAATAGATACCACTTAAATTTAACTTATCGTAATTTTGGTCCACACTAAGTGATCTTTTAAAGATCCTTTAAAAGTAAAGGTTCTAAAAAAAACTTACTCTAAACTTAATATTCAAGGAAATTTTGTTAGAATCTCTGGCATTTAGAACTTGTTGGGCCAGGAATAAAAAATTGGAAGCTGTCGTGGAGGTAGTGGTTAAAGCCTGCCTCCAGAAGAAGTTGGTTTCTCCAGAAGAAGTTGTGTAAAGTAAGATGTGAAGAGGGGGAAATGACAGAAGATCCAGTAAAGAAAACTGAAAAGGTGTAGTCAGTGAATTGGGAAGGGACTGAATTATATTGGTAAAGTCATAAAGTCATGAGAGAAATTATAGGAAACAAACCATTGTTGCTATGCAATAATTACTACATTTAGATGATCTATTTAGTGATGTAAAAAAATTAAGGTTAATTTAGTGGTTGGGATCATTAGTGGTTTTATGGTCAGCATTGAGAGGCCAGCACAGCAAGGTAGCCACTTTTCTGTTTATATCTATTGAAAAACTTGCCCTGTTTGTGTTGAATTTGGCATAACCTATTTGCCACAGACCTTGATGTTTGTTAAGGTGGGTGGACACTGCTCCTCCAGCTCAGGTCTGTTCCTCCTGCTAGGAATGGTATTAGGGTGATGACTATGTGTCCTGCTAGTTTCTGATGTGCTTTTCTGAATATGTTTTCTTTTGTGGTTTGCAAAATATGGACCTCATACAAAATATACTACCAATTTTAGTTTACTCCAAACTTAAAGATCAGTTTAGAATTCAGAGCAATTAATCTAGTAATAGCTGAGTGTTTTCGTGGTTCTTATCTCAGTCCTCTGGACCAGCACATTTAAATTCTGCATTGCATGAAGGGAAACTTAAAGACTTTTGTTATCTTGCACTTCAGAAAAGACCATTAGAGAATTTAGTGGGAATCATGTCATTCATCTTTGCTTTGCTTTGGATTTTAATTCTTGCTGTGAGATTTTTAGTGTTGACTTTAGACACCCACACTAGAAACTTTTAATGTAACATTTCTTGGATTCACTGGGTTTGACTTATTGTAGATCTGCTATTTTTACAATATGAAAGTTCTTAGGTGGACCTTTTCCAGAATATAATCTAGTTAACCATATATTATTTATTAAAGTAGAATAAAAGAAAATTGGAGGTTAATGAGTGTTTGTCAGTAGAGATTGTGAAGGATTATAAGTGGGACATAAAATGGTTGCTTTCCCAATTTCTGGCTTGGTGATGTTTAAGTTGTTGGGAGAAATATAGTTTAGCATAGTGAAAGCTGGTCAATTTACATATTTTGCTTTCCAGTATAGTTTGATATAATTTGTAAGTACATAATGACTTAAGTATAGCAGTTTCAAATTAGACTAGTCACCTAGGACAATGGTCGGCAAACTCCTTAGCCAACAGAGCCAAATATCAACAGTACAACGATTGAAATTTCTTTTGAGAGCCAAATTTTTTAAATTTAAACTTCTTCTAATGCCACTTCTTCAAAATAGACCATGGTATTTTGTGGAAGAGCCACACTCAAGGGGCCAAAGAGCCTCATGTGGCTCTTGAGCCGCAGTTTGCTGACCACGGACCTAGGAAATTATCTTTTTTTTTAAAAAAATGTTTTAAGAATATGTATTTTTATTGATTTCAGAGAGGAAGGGACAGGGAGAGAGGAGATAAAAACATCAAGGATGAAAGGGAATCCTTGATCAGCTGCGTCCTGCGTGTCCCCTATTGGGGATTGAGCTTGCAACCCTGGCATGTGCCCTGACCAGAATTCAAACCAGTAACTCCTAGTTCATAGCTTGATGCTCAACCACTCAGTCACACTGGCTGGGTGGAAATTTTCTGTAATACTGAGTGGTCAGTACCACCATATTACAAAGTATTGATTCTCTCATATCTTCTAGTTTAGTTATAATATTAGATCTTTTCTGAGAGTTTTGCTGTACTATAAATGTAAGTTATTACCCATATTATTTGTTTTTTCTTTGTGAGTTAATCCATAGTCATACACAAAAAATAATATAGGACAAGTTCAAGATAAAAGGTGTTTTATAGAAACATACTTGATATCTTAGCTTTGCACTGTCACTGTGATAGTCACATGTGTTTATTGATCACTTGAAATATGTCCAAACTGAGATGTGATATAAATGTAAATTACAATATGCATTGGACTTGGAAGATTTAGCATGAAACAAAGAATATAAAATAGCTTGTAAGTTTTTTTTATATGGATTACATGTTTGAAATGATAACTATAGATATATTAGATTAAATAAAGTATGTTATTAAGATTAACTTTGCTTGTTTCCATTTTCCTTTTCAATGTAGCTGTTAGAAAATTAAAAATTTCATGTGTGGCTATCATATATAACTCATATTCCTGTTGAATAGTACTATCTTAATATGAAAGAAATCTACGTCTTTTTTTTTAAACTATAATCAAATACATATGTAATTATTTGCTGAATTATAAATCCTTAGTGGAAAAGCAAAAAATAAAAAAATTTAGTGTATGAGTATGCTTAATGAAATTTTCTATGGATAGATTTAAAAAGAAGTACCATAATTTAAAAATAATTACCAGATTTCTAGTAATTTTACTGTTGTATTTAACAAAAGCTGTTAAACTTCAGGGATAAAGGGAACTGGATACCAGACTTCAGAAAACCATCTTGGGATCTGAAAGTGTTGTGTTGCTTTGTGTTGTACAGCTCTCTAAGTGCATTATTGGGCTTGTCCTAAAAGCATTGTGTCTAATACCTAGATTTTGTTATCTGATTCAGCAAGTGGCATGCTTGGTGATGCTTGTGGTGTATTTCTAATATTAGATTTTCTAAAGCAGTGTAGCATCACTTGGGAACTTAGAAATTAGAAATACTAATTCTTAAACCCCAATGCTACTGAATCAGAAACTGATGGCTAGGATTGGCAATTTGATTGTAATGCACATAAAGTTTGATAAACATAGTTCTAGATTATGCTACTTTTATAGAAGTAGCAATACTCAACCTCTTTATAACAATTCTCCACTTTGTCTCCTTGATTCAGATCCATTTATCCTTCTATTATCTGATTGTAATTTAACTGATGTAAATTTTATTTTTCTCATAAAAAGTACTCACACTATTCCAGAATTAGTTTCTAAGCGTAATAATTATATTTAGAGTGGTATTTTATTTGACTCTAATGAAAAGTCATACATTCTTAGGTGGATGCTCTCCGATTGCGTTTGGAAGAGAAGGAAACCATGCTGAATAAGAAAACAAAACAAATTCAGGATATGGCTGAGGAGAAAGGAACACAAGCTGGAGAGATCCATGATCTCAAGGACATGCTGGATGTGAAGGAGCGGAAGGTTAATGTTCTTCAGAAGAAGGTAAGCTGCAGGGGTTCTGAGTTCATCTCTCACACATCATGTATACATACCTCTGAGTTATACCTAAATGTTGTCAAAATTTCACCTTCCTCTGTTTATATATTTGTGGTTTGTAATTAAAACTGTTGTTGCAATAGATAAATTGTTAGAACTGTTCCGCATATTCAGTTTTTAAAATTTTTAAGTAAACAGTATTAGTATCTTCAGTAGTAGTTTGCATGCTATTATTTCTGGAAAGTGCCTTGTAAATTGTCAAAGTGTTGACATTCTTCTGCTGCTTCTGTATTGGAACTGTAATGACATGAATTAGTATATTTATGGATTTGGAATGTTTGCAACTCCATCTATGTGATTAATACTACTATAATTTTGAATAGAAAACATACTACTATAATTAACATATACCAATAGTGTATGAGGGAGAGGTGGCGGGGGAGCAAGGAGAAGGTGATCAATGGGGAAAAGAAGGACATCTTGTAAAACTTTCAAAGATAAACATAAATTTAAAAAAACATATAGTCTACATGTGTCAAGGAAAGGAAGAATTTATTTTTTTTACCTTAATTTTTACCTTCTTTATTGTTACTTTCCTATTTTGTTTCTGAATTGGTGAATTTGAAAACACTTTAGCTTTGCAAAACATGTTATACAACTTGAGTTTTAGTTTGCAGTCAAGCTGTGTTATTTCCACTCTAGACTGTTGGCTATCACTTTGTTACTGACTTCTAGTGTGCCAGATATTTTATAATAGAAAAAATAATTTTGAACTTTTTTGGAAGAGAGTTTTACAACTATCCTGAAATTTGTGTGATTTTTATATATAGACCCACTAATATATTTGAAATATAAATGTACCCAATTAAAAAATCTAGATAAATATTTCTTTCAAAGCATTCCGAAAGTAATCTAAGGGTGCAGGCTTTCAGTTATAAAATAATTAAGTAATGGGAATGTAATTTATATAGTGTGGTGTCTAATTCATAATATTGTATTGTATATTTCAAAATTGCTGAGAGTTGATCTTAAAAGTTTTTATCACAAGAATAAAACTTTTCTGTAACTGTATGTGTTAATTTATGTTAACTAAACTTTGTGGTGATCATTTCACAGTGAATACAAATACTGAATCATATTATACTTCTGAAATTAATTTTACATGTTAATTATACCTCAGTTTGTTTTAGAATAGCACTAAGAAATAATGTGGTTTGAAAAAATACTTAAATTTTAAAATCATGAAAGTAATATATGTTCAAGGTAAAAAACAAAACAAATTAAAGTCTTTCTCCCCATCATTTGATCTTCTCAGTGCGGCTTTTAGAGATGTAACTGTTGTTAATAATTCTTTGTGATCCCTTAATGAAATTGAAATGAGAAATTTGTGCTGGAATTGTGGTATTCCCTAGGCAGTATGGCTTCCCAGGCTCTTGATCAGTGGAGTCAAAGAATGAAACCATGGATGAAATGGTATAGTAAAAGGTGGAAATTAATTGAGAAACAAGCACAGACTCCCACATGGGGAGGGGGAGAGTCCCACTGAGTCCCTTTTTCCTGTGTTTTATAAAGGCTGCAGATGTTTTTACCTTGATATCCCCTCTGATTGATCATAATTCCCCTTTGATTTGGTCACTATAGCAACTCCAGAGCTCAAGCCTCACATGAAGTACGGAGGTTTCCTCCTCCTCCCTTATTGTTCTCCTATTTCCTCTGGGCTTCCTTTCTTCATTTATTTTGTAAATATGTACCTTTTGTTACTTCCAGTCCCTTATCGTATATAAATGTAACTTTGGCCACTCCCAGCTCCCTTGTCTTGTGGTAATGTAGCTCTGTAGCCCGGTGCTTTTTCCATGGACCCCTTAATTCCTAAACTTTCCTAAACCTGCCTATTTCACCCCCCAAAATTACTTTCAAAATGTCTGCATATAGTAAGGTGACCAGATTTTAACATTGGTAAAGCGGGACACCATTGACCTGGGAGAGGGCGGGGAGAGGAGGGTTCTTGATTAAAAATTTGGTCTGTCCTGCCAAAAGCGGGACATCTGGTCACCTTAGTCTACATGGAGTAACAAAAATTTTCATAGAATGCAAAAAATAGTATTGTAACATATTTTTTAAAATTTCAACATAAGTACAATTTACAAATATAATTTAAAAAATTATGTATACTCGTAAGTGTCACTTTCAAGGCCAGCACTAGACTTTTTGCTGCCACTATAAAATATAAATAATACGTCTGCTAAATTCAAGAAAATTTATGTATTTATTAAATAAATAAATAAATAAATAACTTACCTAAATTATCTGAATAGCTGATTTGTAATGACATCACTTGTTTAACTAGCTTACTAGCACACAGTATGATGTGTGTCATCTGAGAGACAGTTACAAAATGTTTTCGTCATTGCCAATCCCCCAAAATGCCATTGTTCATTAAGTCCAAACAATGGTGGTTGAATTCTAACAACTGATCAACAATGCAAACTTTGATAAGCAGTTCTTGATAATCAGTTCTCAACAATTATTTGTTATTATTAAATTTTAACATTATAAAATTAACAAAAATAATATAAAACTCATATCCTGGCTAAATAGCCACATGGTTGCTGAAAACCGTATATTCCCTTCCCGTTCTCCCAGCGTTCCCTTGTTTGTCGTGCATTCTTTCCAAAAATTGAGACTTTTTAAAAACGCCGTGGGACGAGGGACAAATTGTTAAAAATCGGGACTGTCCCGCCAAAAGTGGGATGTCTGGTCACCTTATTTTAAAAGAATGACATTAATAGCTACCATCTAGTTATTTGTATTGAGCATCTAATTGGGAAGGAGTGGGTGTGGGGTTATCTCACACCATTCAGACCTAGGTGTGGGGCTGACAGCCTGTGGGAATCAAATACCCTTTGTTGTCCCTGCTCAAATTCATCAGTAGCTTGTTGAGAGCTAGATAAGAAGAGTGATAATTGGGCCAGGTGGTTCTTCAAGGGAAAATGGATATCCAAGTTTTCAACTGGGGCCCCAAATTTACATGAGCCTTCTATTTAGACCTCAGATGATGTCTTTCAGAAACAGTTCAATTATATTGCTTTGGCGTGTGTGTGTGTTTGTGTGTGTGTGTGTGTGTGTGTGTGTTTTAAGCATTAATTTGTTTAATGTAAACATTTACAATATTATACAATTTTTGTGATTTTAGCATTTATTTTTATTATAAAGTATCCTGGGACCCCGGCCACTGTGGATCAGTGGTTGAGCATCGATCCATGAACCTAGGAGATCTTGGTTCGGTTCCTGGTCAGGGCACATGCCCGGGGTGCAGGTTCTATCCTCAGTGGTGGTGTTGGGGCGTGCTGGAGGCAGCCAGCCATCAATGATTCTCTCTCATTGTTGATGTTTCTACCTCTCTCTCCCTCTCCCTTTCACTCTCTAAAATCAATATATATATTTAAAGTATCCTGGGAGATTCAGCTAATGGAAGTGGCCTGGGACACTCTTGATCTCTGAAAGACTCATGGAGTGTTGTCCCAGGTTTCCTTCGTTAGTAGCCCTTGTTTGAAGCTGAAGGAAATATTGCCTCTGGTTAGAATTAGGTGGGCTGGAAGGAAATGGGGGGCGGGGGGGGGGGGGATGAGAAATATATAATACTTTCAACAATAAATAATTATTTTTTAAATGCAGCTAAAAATAAAATGTTGCTGTTTTATTTTTCATAAGGATTAATTGCAGTGTTTTCTAAATGTTATTTTTTAAGTCAGTGTTAAAGAGGATAAGAGAAGGCCAAGTTGGATCCCAATCAAATTTTAAGTTGGAAACTTAATATACTTAGGCATTAGAATTTTCCCTTTTCTTTCTTTTACCTATAATTTTAATATAACTCAGTTTATTTAAAATTTGTTTATGGAGAATATGTATAGCTAAATTTTTGAAATAACATTTTTTATAAGAAAACTATGCCTAGTGAATGAAGTATAATGAGTGATGATATTTCTACTGGGGAATATATTCTATGTGGATTTACTTTGCTTCATATAACTTTTTTACCTTCCCTTTTTCAAGTAAACTTTAAGGAGGTAAATAGTTGGAACTTTCAGAGTCTAATTTAACTTCCAGCTTGTTAATAGTAACTCTTTTTAAATGAAGCTGAACTTATATAAGTGACTGAAAAATTATTCTTGAAAAAAAGGGAAGGATCTTAGTTTACCTTGCTATAAATTATCTTTTATTTAATATTTTAAAAATATTAATTGTATTGGGATGACATATATATGAAAGGCTAATATGCTAAGTGTCTGTTCGGGTAATGTCACATAGCAATGTCCAGCTTCCTCTCCCTAGTTACTAGCCTCCTTAGATTTTCTTCAGTCCAGGAATAAGACCTGCTTTATAGCCATGTGGAAACATTTCACACTGTAACCAGATATCTGTGAAGCCTTTTCCTGTGCCTCATCTCATTTGATCCTCACAGAAGTCCTGGGGTAGGTAGATAGGAGACTCATGGAATCATATATATATATATATATATTTCATTACCTGGAAAACAGATATTTAGAAAGCTTAGAAACTTGACCTGACTGAAAAGAAGTAAGAAATGGTCAACCTTGAAATTAACTTCAGGTTTTCTCACTGTGCAGAGTATAGTCAAACACTTCTGCAGGCAGATATTTTATCCTTTGTTCTCCCTGCATGATTTACAAAAATAATCTGCTTTATATTGATATTTACTGCTACATTGCTGACAATTACTTGAAAAAGATGTTGGTGTGCTTCACTGGGCTGGAAAAAGTTTAGCTAAAACAGAAAGCAGGTCTAATTAAGCAAGTTTTTATCTATAAAAGGCTAAGTTGGCTCGCACATGCATGATACACAAAAAGTTCTTGCTGGCGCTAATTGCATGTGTGTGTTTCCATCTATCATTGTTAGTCCTGAATTTGGTTGACACTTCTATTATAGAGAAAGGGCAGCTGAGGCAACTGGGGGACTCCGGAGGCAGGTGCACAAAACGGCTGGGT